GGAGACTGAGACATGAGCCATATGCTGGATGAAGGACTCTTTGTACAGGGGATGGTATAAACTGAAGATGACAGCCGTGTCCTGCTTAGGTGTGTGGCTCAAGAATTTTTATTTGGCTGTAGCTGAAATGGAGTGACAAGGTTTAGTACGGAAGATAGTGCTTCCTGATACTTACCAGTGTAAAAAAGACTTTCGGAGCCAGGACAAGAAGATGGGATCATCTTATGGCATCTCAGTCTCTGAGGACCTCACAACTGCTTTTTCCACATCTATGTTCTGCTCTTTCCATATATATGCAATGTCTGTGAGATGGGGAATTAGGCCTACACCCATTTTATTCAGCACAAAATCCAGGTGCAGAGTCTGATAACTAGGTTGTCAGAGTCACCCAGAAGCATAGATCCCACTGATACAAATGAGAAGGAAATGTGAAAAAAAGACTTTAAATCTTCACCTAAATGAATTGTTGCAGACATAGTGAAAACCCACGCAGATGGTGGTATCACACAGCCTTTTACTATGGACCCAGTGCTTTACCAAGCGGGCCACTACTGATTTGTAACTGTATTTTAGCAGGGCTCTGAAACTGTACACGTTAAAGGTGATCAGAATGAATAATTCTGAGTTGTCCAAGGAGCATTATAATAATGATCTGCTGCTCATTGCCTTTTGAAGTTAATTTTTTCAGAGGCCACCTGTGAGATTCTGTGAAACCCTGAGATGACTCGCTTCTGGCAGCCAGCATCTGAAACCTCCAAAGGACTCAGCTCTCAAGGATGCCTTTCTTGTATTAGCTGAGGCATAAATACCTGTATACTGCTGTATAATATCTGCCTTACCTGAAGTGCTGTATTGATACGCTGTAATTACAGATTCTGACAACATTTTACCCTTTCCCTCAGTTACTCCTAGCGTTGAGCATTAGACACTTTGACTTAACAAGGCAGAACATCGAAGGTTTTATGTCCTGATGCACAACTGCGGCTTCAAATCATACCGACCACTAAAAAGTACCTAACCAAGGGGCATTCCGTTAGACACCAGGCTGTGCATTCAGGAGCTGAATCATCATCATCAGCTGGATTCTAGAAGGAGTGAAGGCAGCTCCCCCTCCCACCTCTGGCACCTCAGGTAGGACAAATTTGGATCATGAAATTTGGAAGAACATTTGATGCAAGTGACATGCCTGCCAAACACTACCTCATTCATCACCATGGTATTTAACTACCAGCACACATGGTCATCCATGCAGACACTGAGAAAACACATGTATGGCCCCTGCATTTTCTTTTTCTCCTGGAAAAAATGGCAGGGCTGGGAGTGAGGTATTAATTGAGACTCTTGTTACTCTTGATAGATGTTTGCAGAGTTCTTAATCACTCAAGATGGCCAGAATACTCATTACCTGAGTTGAGAAACTGCATCCTTCAGTAACAATCTGCTTTCTTGCAGATTGCTTTCTTCTGTGTCTGTAGAATTATAGTAGGGTAACATAGGGTGAGCATTTGGGGCTTGAAAGAGTGAGCCACATTGCTGTCTGCCATGACTTTCTTCACTTAAGGCAAAAGAAGAGTATGAGACCCATAATCCTTTTTCCTAGAATTAAATGGGCTGTGAACAGTAGAGTAGTGACTACACAGGAGCAGCAAACAGCCGACTTCATAGAGGACAAAGACTGCAAGTAAAATCTTGGAGTATGCAGAACAGCCACTGAAGATCCACTCTGAACTTTTCTTGTATGTACAGCATATCATACCTGGGCTGAACTCGACTTTTGGGACTGTCATTTGTGAGTGAAAACAGGCAACAAAAGTGCATGTATCATTCCTCTGGGAATTACAAAGGAAGGAGATCATGAAGCTCCGGTTTGTCCGTCCTACCCACTCACAGCAGTTCTGATGTCTCTCTTAACACAAAAGGTCAAGGCCAAAAGCTTTTTCTCCGCCCACAAAGAGGGACGCTAAATTTGCATTTCAATGCAAAATTTAGAACATTTACTCATCATGAGGAAAATAACTGTCTGATTATATGGCAGGGATTATGAGTTCAGTATCTTTGCTCTTTCCCTGCGTATGGCATATAAGGCAGTACTGCACTCTCTAGGGAAAACCAGGAGGGAACTAAAGCTGATTTATCTGTGTGTTATAATCCCAACACTCGGCAATGAGTTTTTAAAAGGCAACAGTCCCTGGGAAAGGAGACCAGCACACAACTTCTCTGTCCTAGCACAGTCTACTACTTCATTCCTGAAATCTTTGCATACGTGATCCCCGTTCATCAGAAACACCATAAAGGAAATAGTTCAGCACGTTCTTTTGCTGCTGTATTTTCTGTGCTTGAGCGGGAGATCACAAATGCTGAACTTTACTTATTTCTCAGGATCAGAAAGGAAAAGATACCCTAGGATTGGACACAGTATTCGAAGCCATGAGATTTATGAAATTGAAGGCTTTTTGCAACAGTATGACAAACTCTGTATTTAAACAGATCACTCCCACCACACAGAAGCAGAAATATAACATGCCTTTTGTTCAGAGATTTACCATGTTTAATTATTCATTTTTTTCAGTAGCTTAACCATGTATTCAGTTAAATAAAGTAATTAACAAAAGTGTTCAAAGTGAGGCAATATTGTCTTTATGTTATTTTTAAATCGTGATCAGGTATCTGTGTGACATGGAAAACTAAAAATCAAACAAAGTACATAATCTTTGCTTCTCTAATAAAATTTAGTGCCAAATTCTGCTCTCAGGTAGATTTCTATAAAGCATTGTCCCTAACAGCATTACAATACCAGGGCGTATTTCTGGGTTTAAAAAGTGCAAAAGATCAGGAGTTCTCACATCTTAAAGCACACACCAAATGGAGAGCTGGTGTCTGGCTCTAACACATACCGCCCCGCTGACCTCGTGCAAGCAGTCGCAGCATGAGTCAACTCCAATAAACTGATTTGACTTCACCAGATGGTAATTTGGCTAAATTTGCTTTTTGACTTCAATTTGCCTGCTTCAATGAATGAGAGCACAATTTGGCTCCTTTCTCGGTGAAAAGGAAGCCAACCAAACATGACTTTCACTAGGCCTCAGTTTTCGGCCCCAGATTTCAACACACACTATTACAGCAATCAAAAGAACCATAGAAATTACTTATCATTTTACTGTTCCTTAACACATTTCACACAGTCCTGCAGCGAGCAGAATCACAGATGAACCTCAGAACATACAGAGAGCACAACTACTACACTGGACATGAAAAGGAAATTTTATTAAACATGTTTACATAACATGAGTTGGAAGTTCATTTAAAAGCACAGGGGAGTGTTAAGACAAGTGGTCAAAATAGAAAGGTACTATCGAATTATAGCTAGTTGGTTTTTGGCCACTAAGACAGAACAGGATCTAGTAGTAGTGCACCAATGCTTGAGTTCTTCCTGCTCAGCAGGTCGAGCAGTAACCAATCTGCGCCCTATGGAAAGATGGGCAGAATAATTCCCACGTGTTGAGTAATAATAAATAGTTCACTTGGTGCAGGCAGTATGTCTATGAATTAAAACCTAGTGTGTACACAGTTTCTACATGTGTTACAGCCCCACAGTAGGAATCTACACCAAAATAGTTATTAGAAGGAATTTGGTCCGTACTACATCACGTTTTCCATAGGGTAAAAAATAAAGTCCATCTATAGACATTTAGCACCAGACTCACAGACCTAGCCTGGCTAAAACCTGCAAAATGTCTATAAGAAAAATGGATGGCTTAGATTTCTTGGTTACTTCAGTATAGTAATTACGAGCAAACTGTACAAGTACATGCAACATACAAGCTGGCCTATGTGGAACTAACATACATTATTAAATAACCTTTTTAATCTCTTTTTACAAAACGTGCATGCAGCTTTGAACAGTTCCAAGTCATGCTGCTCTATTTGTGTGATCACAAAATTGAATGGCCTGTAAAAGGAGGGGAAACATATCAATGCACCTGCAGGAATCTGCAGTTGTTCGCACATTTACAGAATATCACAAGGGATTTCAAGGCCAAGAATAACTCAAATGAATAAAAAGCAAATTGAAATTTGACTTTTTTTTTCTCCAAAAAGTAAGATATCTTGCGTTAAAAAATCAAGCCTTGTGCTTGCATCAATCTCAAAGAAATGTAAACTAAAATTTGATAAAAACATTAGTAAGTGCAGAATATTTCAACTGGAATTTCCAGTGAAACATTGAACAACTCATACCATGCTCTATCCAGGGCAGACAGGTGCGTCTGAAGCGACACACATCAGAGAAGCCTGGGTACAGCTGAAAGTGTCATATGCTCAATCCATTCCTGGTCAACATTTTGGGAAGTCAAATATACATTTATACACAGAAACGTAAATATTTCCTCTCCATTTCTAGGAGGAAAATTGCATTACCGGTAACATATTCAATGTCAAAATTAAGACTAAAGCTGCTTTATACCAGTCCCCAGCAGTAGTTGCAGAATTCTTCAAAATTCTTCCATGCAAAACATCATAAACATAAAAGTTATTATATATAATGCAAACATATCTGCTTTTTACAAAGAAAAAGTGGCACTGTGATGATTATTTATTTTTAAGAATATAACTTAGATTGGCCATTTGTTCTGGGTTCCCACGTGAGAGACTTGGAAGTACCAGAACAGAGAAACGATTTGAACTCGCTGGAATCGTAACTGTGGCTGTTGAACACTTTAACGATGCTTACAGAGATATGCTTCAGCCCTTTGTTGTTTGGTTTAGAAAAAGAAAGGAAGGGTCTCTGTTAGCGTTGTGAGGACTTCTACAAAACTAGCAGAATCACATGGCAAAAAACTAGTGGAAGTGACAAGTACAGAAAAACTGCTGAAACACCAGGAAGGTAACACTGCTTGAGGGCTCTCTCAAAATGTGAAAAAATACAACATTATTAACAGAGTGAGAGCTTCCAGTTTGGGTCATCTTTGACTTAGGTCGAATCTAAAGGTGTCTCTCTCTCTCTCTCTTTTTTTTTTTTTTTTTTGATCATTATAAGCATCGGTGATAGCCGCGAATAGATTGGCCGTATGTGATAAACCTTTGTTCTGTCAATTTAAGCCATCTCTCGACAAACAGACATATGTTTGGATAACTACTACAAGCAAAAACAGAAGTGATTGTCTCTCTCCAACAGTGTTTTTTGATCATGTGAATATCTGGTTCCAACTGTCATCCTGGGTGATGTTTCTATTAGACAGCACCTGCTACTATGATCTAATGCAGGGAGGCCCAGTTGAACTTTCCAGAGATGACTGGGAAGCCCTGCGTGTCAGGGGAGTCAAGGTTGGATCCACTAGTGATGAAGGTGGAAATAATTTATACCAGCCTATTACCACACTGGACAGATCCAGTTCCTCCAGAAGGATCTGGGCAACTCCCATGAAGCATTTGTGGTCCATTCGGCCATAGTCTCCCCAAACTATTACCTGGAAGAAGATAAAATACAGGTTCAGCATTGTCCCCAATCCCATGCTCATATGTTCACTCCTGCTCTTGTTATGTGTAGCATAAGGAAAATGTTATTCAAGGGTGAAAGATTGCTCCCTCTTGTGGGAAAACCTAATGGCAGGACAGGAGCGAGAGTCAACAAAAGAGAAATGTTTAATACAGCCAGACATTTCACAGGTCTGAAACCACAAGCCACAAGGATGCGTTTGCTGGTATTTATAAAATTAAATGCTTAGTGAGTTGGAATGGGTTTATGCATATTGCTTAAAGTTAAGTAAACACGCAAGTGCTTCTCCAAATTATAGCCTAAAATGGGATTAAGAAGCAACTGACCTGAAGGACTTTACCCTGTGGACTTTCATCAAAAACCAGTGTCTGCTGGTACAAAGGATCAAGGGTCTTCCGTGCAATTCTTGTTTTCTTCTTAGCTATACACGTTCCATTTTCCAATAAATACACTTTGACATACGGAGCTGCAAACAAAACATCATGAGTTTTATGTTTGGACTTAAAAACTTCTACATTGCACATCTGAGCTGGATGACAAATGCCTTAAAAGGAAGCTGAGTGGAGAGAAAATGACACACATTATCTTCACTGTATAATCTGAATACAATTATATTCTTAAAATAAATGACGTGGCCCATAAGAAATCAATTTGATTTTTATAAACTTTGAATGTAATGATCTAAGATGTTACTAACAACAATTATGTTTCATGCATGCCTGTCATTTTAAAAACACTTTCTTTTGCCAGGATTTAACTGTCCCTGTTAGCTACTCTGGAGTCTCTATGCATGTTTAGGGGTCAGAGATATTTAACAAAAATAAGACTTTCATGTTTCATTGAAAGGAATATTTTAAACTAAGTCATTCCAATAACAGACCTTAATTGCTCTTTCATCTTCGGCTCCTAAGGAGGTTGTAAAGAACCATTTTGGCAAAATGTTATCTAAAACAACTGCTCCAGTTGTTTCAGTAAGCAGTGGTTCCGGTAGCAATTATAAATCTCCTCTAACAAAGATTTCTGTAAATAATTAGAACGTCAAAAAATGTCCTTATAAAATGTTACAATATTAAATCTCATTCGTTATACAAATTATTGACACTGGCACTAGCACAACCTGCTGTCTTCCTGAAGCACTGTTGCATACAGAAGATCCTGGCATGTGGTGGGTTTGTTAAGCTCCTTGTTCAAAGCACTTTCATCTGTTCTCCACCTCTTGTTTTGACGTGGAACAAACACAAAGGACTTCATCTACATTGACAAAGCCCCTCTGAGATATATGACTTGCCTAAGATACGCAGAAATATTTCTGCAAATGTTCCTTCCAGAACGGATGTTGAGCTGCTGAAAATCCTTCCTTGGAAGGTGGCATGCAACTGGCAGATGCAAGGCAGTAAAAATTGGATATTGGTAGCAAGGATATCTCCACGCACACATTCCTTGTTGAAAAGCAAACCAAAAAAATGTAAATGGAGTGACAGCTAACGAGGAGCTTAAAAAGTCTCCGATCCCCAGCTCATCAACATATTTCATATTTTTGTTTTCTGTTCATGTATTGTCTTTTTTTTTTCCTTACCTGGGGTAGATTTGGAGCCAGGTTTTTGTGTGAGGCCACGGGCTCTAATGACTTCTACTTCTAATTGGCCCTTTTTATCCACCATTCCAATCTGGATGTCACCTGAGAGGGAGAAGAAAGAAGCCCAGATTTTAGACAAGCAGTGCGCCCCAGAAAATAGGGTATGAGAGTGAGAAACAGAAAGACTAGTTTGCTACTAGTCTGCTGCGTTAGTGTGCTTGTCACCTCTCCTCCTGATCCCTTTAATTTTCCCATCCTTAAACCACGACTAAAAGATATGCACTTAGGGAGCACAGTGCCCTCTCTTGGTGTATGGTTTATATCAGAGCTCAGTATTTCTGATCCATGGAAGCAGACAAATTCACAGCAACACTATGGTATAACCACCACACCTTTAATTTTGCATTGGCAAATTATCTAGAGACATCGCACCTAGGACTGTTGCTCCAGCGTGCCAGTCACTGCCATGTGCTGCCCTGACAGCAGTCCCACACTCAGAGAGCCTAAAACCCAAACTCATGTTCAGAAATCCCTTCGGCTGGAAGTTTCTGCCTCCAAGCTGAGACGCAAGAGCTGGCAGTGCAAAGGCTCCTTGTCTGGTGAAGGAGGAAGGAGAACTGCTGGTAGAGGCTAACGTTGAAACCTTCTTCTGTAACTACAATTGTCTGACTGGATCCTCAGCGTAAGGCAGAGGCGCCAGCCGCACGAGGCACGCAGGCATAGCACAGCTTCAGAGAATGATGCCCTGCCCCTCAGGAGCTCAAAAGAGGTCTTTTTTCTGCAACGGTCTCCAACAAGTACAGGGGTGACAATTTTCCTCTTTTTATCAATATTCCACACCCATTTTTGGTGTGAATAAAATGATGCAACACGTTAAAATAAGAAGCAGCTTTTGCTACTAAATAGTCAAACTTTTTTCCCTGCCTGAGTTCTGACAAATGACATTTCCTGCAGAAAAAGGAAACTACTTAGTCCGAGACCAAGCACTGTTCTGATCTAGATCAACAAAATGGAAGGGACGTGAACTATGGGCTGATGCGCAAAAGCTTTCTATCTCTATGGTTTCATATATCATGGAATCAGCTGGGTAGAAATCTAACAGGCCACTTAGAATAAACAATGCACAGTGTGATGACATGGGCAGCTACGTGACACCTGTGCAAATAAATGAACTACGCATATATCCATGAAACACATGAATATGTATGTATTTGACATGTAAACTCCAACTGTCTAGAAAAACACGCTCACGAATAGATGGTCCTGAACTACAGAATTTGGGGTCTGGATTTAGAAAGACAGCATTTTGAAATTAACTGGGCATGCGATTTTTCACATGCTTGTCTAACAGTATATTAAAGCAGTGTTTAGACCTTGGTACTTGAGGTATGACAGAGCAGCAGGGAACATTTCTTTATCAATCAAACTTTGCTTGAATAAACAGAGCCCTGTGTTGCACTAAAAATAGTTCACAGGAAAATTCCAACAAGCCTTTTTAAGAGCACATCTCTGTATCGCTTATCCAAAATAAAACATGCAACAGGGAACCAGAAGGGGGAGCGATAATACAAACATTTTCAAATCGTCACTAGTGAAAGGGTACCACATAGAAGGTCTTCTGAAAATTGTTAAAAAGCTTGATTGAGTGCTTTTTTGGGGGCCAAAACTTGAGCCTTTAGTAAATAAAGCAGTTCTAAGAGGTGAAAACAAATGTACTACTCAAGTAATCTGCAGAAAAATATTTAGTTAGAAAAGGATTAAAATAAAGAGACGGAAGAAATCTAGACCCTTACATTCGTACCAGTAGAGCAACTTAGATTTTTATTGGGCAAATCATCTCACAAATACCTCCTCTTTCAAAATAATAATAAAAAATATGGATTTAACAAGTTTGGTGCTTATTAATGCACCAGTAAGTAGAAGTTACTTGGACTTACACAGCAGCCCTTGACTTAGGGGGTAACTCAAAGCATTCTCAAGAAAGTTTCTGTCTCCTCCTGCTCACAAGTTGGGAGGGAAACACTCTCTTCTGCAATTTTTCTTTCTGTTTCTCTCTCCTTTTTCAGAAGCGGCTCAGTAGCCCTTCCTGAAGCTGATTCTCCCAAGAGAGCTGTACTGAAGCATTGGCCATTTATAATTTCCAGCAGGAGAAGTATGGTTAAAGTAGTGGATCAAGGACTCCTCACTTAGCATCCTAAAGCATGTCAAAGAATTGCTCATATATAAGCAAAAAAAAAAAAAAAATAAAATCAAACCTTTCCCAGGATACCTACACAGCACTGCACTATTGAACACCTTATACACTCATACTCTGTTTATAACCAAGGTACAGCTAATGCTACTAAAGGGAAATAAATACAGACTGGTCTGGAACACAGAGAAGATCACAGACAGCCCCAGGCAGCTGCTGTAGGAAAGGATTTTGTCTCTTTCATGACAAAGACTGGCTTTATCAGCAACTGATTATTGGGCATTGTAAATGTGGGCAGAAGTTTCACATTCTGGGGTTAGATGAACTAAGTTTGGACAAGTGCAGAGTTTGGCCAGGAACTGTCTGTCACATCCAATATAATCTGTGGAAAGTAAATATAAACTCTGAACAGCTGAGATTTTGCAGTGAACTACAATTGGAGAAGCCACAATAATTTTGAGTGGGAAGTGCAACCCCTATCTTCAAATTGCAAATGAAATTAGCTGACACCTCAAATGGAGCAAATACTGTTTCTCATCTCATTTTGGATGCTAGCGTGCTAGGAATATCAGTGACCGCGTATGGGACCTTCATGTTTACAGTGAAGGAAGCCACTTCGTAAAAGTCTTTTTGGTGCTGTAGTCTGGCAGTGTGTGCATTAGTTAATTGGCTTATTTTTCATTTAACAGAGGAGAATGTATTATTCTTACCCATGGCAGGGGTTGCTAGCGTTTGTCGGCCTACTAACTGTGCAGGTCCAAGTCCGTCGAGGAAATCACTAAACTGACTGTCAGCGCCCAGCCGTACTCCAGGAAATATTAAGCTGAAGACAAAATAAAAGCTGATTAAGCATAAGAACAGGATTAATTTCTATTGTCCTACAGTATTTACCTCAAAATTACTACTGATACAAAGCAAGCAGCTCAGGATGTGCAACCACAAATTGTTCTGCAGCATCAGGAACGAGCTGTCTCCCGTGGACCCCAAAGAAGTGTAGTGAAATTCTGCACATGGGCCCAAAGTAGTCCATAAAACAGTTCTGGCTAAGGAGTTCTCTAGGTGAGAGCCTAGTGAAGGGCCTGACAAGCGAATAAACTATGAGTGACCTTGTATGAGAAAACATAAAAAGCCTCATGAACTTTAATAGTCTATCATTCTTCATTCTTGAATGCTTGCTTTGCCTTGTAATACTGTTTTATATCTATACATACATCCAAACCCCATCCTTATCAGTTAGAACAAAAAAGGGAAAACAGTTGTATACACTAAATTAATCTGATTGCTGCAGCTGTTTAATGAAGCAGTAAACTGGCAGGTAGTAGTAGTGTTGATTAGAGCTAATGCCACTCCCTAGCCAAAATATTCTGGTAGCCACATCTGGATCTACAGTTGGTACCCACCCCTCTTTCAGGACACAAACTGAACTGTAATACATCAGCACAGAATATATGGAAACATTCCAGGTCAGGCTGGACGGGGCTCTGAGCAACCTGATCCAGTTGAAGATGTCCCTGCTCACTGCAGGGGGGTTGGACTAGATGAGCTTTAAAGGTCTCTTCCAGCCCAAACCATTCTATGATTCTACGATATGTGCTTTTCCAAGCTGCTTTCTTGTATTCCAGGATCTCCACTTTCTTTTAGATAGATATATAGTCTCCAAACAATAACAAAAGAAACAAACAAACAAAAAAAGAGAGAGAAAGAATGATCCATGGTGGGGAGACTCAGCTTTGACTTCCTCATCACAATTATGAGGAACAGAAGAACAGACTTTGAACCAAGTCTAGATAGCATCTTATCCAGCAGGCCATCCACCACTCTGTACCTGCTTGTCCCTCAAAGGAAATTCCCTGTTAGACTGGAGAAAATGATAACAAAACTTCCTAATAAAATTTGATTTCCACAGATCAGGCTTACGTGCTCCAGTCACTCATTTCACACTGAAAACTCTTTGCAAACCCCAGTTCGTTGGATAGGAAAAGCCCATTCCTCTCTTCAAGACTAATTGATTTTACTATGCTTGCCTAAGTGACTGCCTGCAACTAAAGCTGGCCAGAAAATATCAGCACAGTGCTTTTCGTTAGAACACTCTGATTTACAAAAAGGTAAGCTTTTCACGTAAGTTTAATTTTAAGAAAACTTTTTTTTAAGAAGGTTTCTTTAGATGGAGGAGGAAAAGAACCTCAAGGTCTGCAGTTCAACCGTGAGCCCACCAGTCACAGCATTCACCTAACCTCGAGATGCAGCTTCAAGCCCACCCTTTCTGACAAGGCACACAGTCTGCTTTTCTCCCCAGTAGCGCTACTTGTTCACTCTTGCCCCTGCTATGAAAAGTTTCTTGCTCATTTCTTTGGCCTTTCCCCCCAAACATGTTACATTTTGCTATGGAATGACTAACAACATTGAAAATATTCAATTTTCAGACATCTGAAGGTTATGAAGTACACATTCACCTTAATGTGTATTAATTCTGATTCATTAACTCCAGATATGGGCCAAGCAGAAGAATGCAACATGGTACCTGGGGTACGTACTGTAGGAATCTGCTTTCTCAGCTGAGCTACACATTAATTGGTCTTATGAAATGCAGGATGAGCATGATACTGTCAATAAACTATGTGATCCTGGAAGTAAAGTCAGTATGATAATGTACACACACAAGGAAGGAAAAGTAGCCTGTGCAAACTTAAGCATTTCCTAATTGTCATGATTACCCGCCTACAGTAATGTCAAGAGTGAACTATGGACAAAATACTACTAAAACGACCAAAGTCAAGCTCTCACTGATTTTGATGGGAATCTCACAAGAGACAGGAAAATCCTAGCAAACAGCTTTGCTATTCTGAATACAATGTGCTATCAAAACCTGATTCCTGCTCACACTAGAAATAACATCTGAAGTTAAAGGTGACATTTCTAATGTTCGAAAAAGTCCCAGAAGAAGGAGGGAGAGAGGGAGAGGATTTTAGGATCAGGTGGCACAGTGCATGTACCCCTGATTATGTGATGCAGTTGTGCGCCTTTCCTTCCACCTTGCAGCTGCGTCCAACTTATGTTCTACAAATAAGCCAGTGATGCAAGTGGGGGAAGTGATTAAACAGTAGAAAATTGTTTTATTGGTCATCTTTCTTATAAGAATCTCTGTGTTTAACATTTTTCATTCACTGCAATCTAAACCCAGAGCTGCTGTAACTAACATTGTTCTACCAAACTCATGCAAGTTTGCAGAGCATCTGAGGATTTGGTCTGTAGCTAAATCACAGAATCATAGAAAAACAGAAGACTTCAGAGAAGTTTTCTAAGCCACAAAGAACAGAGCCCTCTGGTATCCCTTTTGCCTATGGCATTGTGTCCTGTTTAAGGAATGTTTCTCTTCCTTCATTGCAGCAAGATATATTTAACTGTTTCACCTGAGTTTTGTTACCTGCCTCCTTTGGCCCATTCTCCTGGGCTTCCCTTCAGAGCCACTGTTTGATATTGGTGGTGGTCTCACTTCACTGGCGTCACTGTTTCTTTACTCTTGCCAGAGATTGGAATAGGGACGTGGAGATCAGGGTCAGTGTTTAAGGCTAAGGTCAAGTGCGAACTGGGTTTGCAGTCAGGTTTGCAAACCTGCATTGAGGTTTACAACCTCAATGAAGTTGAGGTATACTGAGGAACAGGAATCAACCAGAAGAGCTGGTAACTCTATTAAACCAAAGTCTGGGACAGAAATATAGTGAAAAGTTAGGGAGCCAGCGCCAAAAGTATGGATCAAAAAAGCAGGACAAACATGGTCAGATGTGAAGAAATCTATTGTATGAGAGCCCTGAGAGAGGTAAGGAGAATTGTCAGAGGCAGAACTGGTGCTGGAACAAGAGATGGGGAGCAGGCACAGGAGCTAAGGAGGCAGAAACAAGACATAAGATACAGATCGTGTGACTACCACCTTGTGATAGCTCACTTTACCTTGAAGGTGGACCTAGTTCTAAAGGACAATTTTCAAACTAAGTCCTGCTATGCACACCCAGCCTGCAATATGTCCCAATAAGAAGCAAGCACACTTGCTCTCTTCACTGCCTTACTCAGAGACTGATTCTCAAGTCAACAATTTCAGGGTCTACCTTGCAGTTTCTGTCCTTCAGATGCCTGCTGTGACCTCCAGATCCAGACCTTGGCTGCCCCAGCCTTGCCAAATCTGTTTACACACTCTGAGGGTGGAGCAGAGGATTAAGCTGTTCCCCTGAAAAGATCATCACTGTCAGTGCTGGGCTCCCACCTCTCCCATACTGCTAACCAGGGAAACAGGCTCCCCCAGCTCCACCTTAGCAGGGTCCAGTTTACTGGGCCCTTTGCCTCCACGGCGAGTGACTGGTGCCTTACAGACTGACACTGCAGCACAAAGAAAGGAAGGAGGATGGCAGGATGGAGTGTTGAAAGAGTAAAGGTAATGCCCTATCATAGAGTCATAGCGGGAGAAATACTGGGATATTTTACTCTTGTCCTTCACTCTTCATCTAATGCTTATTTACTCTGAGTTATTCATGATAGAGCCTGTTTTCTTACATGGCTCTTGCAATTCTTAGATTTGTCAAAGAATCGTAGAATGGTTTGGGTTGGAAGGGACCTTAAAGACCATCTAGTTCCAACCCCCTTACCTTCCACTAGATCAGGTTGCTCAAAGGCCCGTCCAACCCGGCCTTGAACATTTCCAATGATGGGACACCCATAAGTTCTCTGGGCAACCTGTTCCAGTGCCTCACCACCCTCACTGTAAAAAAATGAGGGTGGTGAGATCATCTGATGATGAAGAAACTGCACCTTTACACAGCTCCTTGCCACCACCATGGCTGCCCCTGGCTCTTCGTGCCTTATACAATGTGCAATAGCAATTGTGGTAACACGGTAAGCGTATAAAAAGATGAAGACAAAAAAGTCCCAATCTCTCATTTTTTCCAGGTCTACAGGGTGCAATTTGCCTACCCCTGGTTTCTTCTTTTGTGGGGAGGCATCTTCTAAGAATTTCCTAGTGACCACTGTGCCCTGGCACAGAGGGTAGAGTCCCACTGAGAGCTGTGAGGAGACTGGACTATTCACGCACAGTTTTGTGTCAGACCTGCCTTTGTTCTCCTTTCCTACATATTGAGTCAGTCAGCAGTGAATGAAAACAGCTGCCCATTCCCCACCGTTGTCTGCCTGATTTCAGCTGATGGGGCAGCTGGACTCTGGGTTTACAGTTCTCAATAAGAGACTTGGACTAACTCCAGACTAAACTTTCTTTGTATATAGTATTACTGAACAGAGTTTCATATCACAGGGATTTACATACAACATCTGAAGTTTAACTCTGAGTTAATCCAAACATAACTCAAAGAAAAAGTACCCCTATGTTTTGTTTTGAATAACGCGGTCTGAATTTAGTTGTCTTTTGATGAATAAAATGCCTCACCGGATGACAGGGAAAATGTGAATCCTTAAGAAGTCCTCTCTCAATTTCAGTTTTCAAGACATTTGTGTTACATGCCTAAAATAGTTCAGTTTTGCAAATGTTTCAAGAGGAAGAATCTGTACGCAGAGCTATCCCCTTCAGCCAGAGCTGGGACCTCTGTTCACATCCCAAGTTTTCTTACAAAGACAAGAAACTTCTCCTACATTGCTGATATTTTTAATGCCACTTACTTGCCCTCAGAGCTATAACTATTTATGCTGCCGTCAGTGGACTCCCGACTTGGCTGTCGAACCATACGACTTCTCATCTCTGCTGCCATTCCCGTCTCTGTGCTTCTCTGTATCGTGCTCTTTAGCTTCTTGTTGCCAGCCTCTGAAAGCAGAGAAAAAGAAGCAATAGTTAGAATAACAACTTAGAGCAAAGCCTTTCCTTGCAGTTTTCCCCCAACAACAGTGAACTGACTTGACCATTACTATTTAATAATACAACAGACTATTCTGATCAAAGAAGGAATCTCTCTTCTTCAGTTGCAAACTGGCAATGGCTTCTCTTTAAAAGGGATGCAACCTGCAAATCTTCATTAGGGCAAACTGTTAGAAATTAGGTGTCTTATTAATGACCTTTACACAGTTGGAATGTAGACAGGATGACTGTGATAGTGCCTGCTAACCACATACTTGGTAAGGTGTCTCTAGCCACCTTGTTAGTTAGGTTGGGTGACTACAAAAGGAGTTACAACTCTCAGAAAAAAAGAGGGGAAAAAATCCTTCATGCATTCCACAGAAAAATGTTAAGTACTAAAATACTTAGTATCAAAAATATAATAATGTGTTTTGACTCAGCAAAATCGTACTTTTCACCACAGAAATTCTTCAAAGTACACAGTGACCTTTACATAACTTCTGATCTCAGCACTTCCTAAGCAGAATTAACTCTTGGAGAATTTGTTTGGGAGACGACGGACTTCACAGTCTAGGCTTGCAACCGAACACTACCGAGTAATGCAAATCTTGTGAAATTCTTTAAAGACTCGATCCATTTGGAAAAGCTTCCATCACACATTCTTTAAAATGCAATTTGTGTTCCACCTGGAAGGTTTCATGTTACCCTTGCACAAGGAGAGCTTCCAGTCCTTTACAGGGGTGGTTATGGGCTCAAGATGCAACGGTCAATCAAAGAATTCTGCTGTTGCATGGCAGAAATTATGCTTCTAGATGACGATAATTGTTCTCAGAGATCTATAATTGAAAAACTTCCACCAAAGTCTCTGTGTGATGTAATAGCGTGTGCTGACTTCAAACTCAGTGTCCTGTTCTTTTGCATTTAGTTCAGCCTATCATTCAATGGGTAACATTAGTTTCTCTCAGGAAGTAATAGATTTGACAAAGTTCCACGTAAGTGCATGCAGAAACATTCTTCTCCTGCATTTGTCCCTTCATTTCAGTGCTCCTTCATTTGCTCTCTGCGAAGTCTGTGCTTCCTTTTCACAGTCTGCTCAGGGGAGCGTCTGAAAAAGTCAATGTTTCTTCCACTTCCACCTGCTGTGGACTGGATTGCTCTGAAAAATTTCTCACCTTCCTGTTTCACATGGACACCGTTGATGTTTGAAGCTGACAGATCTTGACTTTTCTTCACATAAAAGTTATGGCTTTGGCAGCCCCGCGACATCCATTGCTCAGGGTGTTTAACCGCGCTGCGGAGAACAGCTCACCCTTGCTCTTTGGGTCTGCAGAGCTGGTGGAGGGCAAGGAGAAATCATACCACAGAGCAGCTCCCCCTCCCCGAGTTATCACGGTAACCTCTCCAGAGCTAGCAGAGAGACAGCAAACGTGGCCAAAGCGAAAAAGAAAGAATTCGTGTATTGGGCTTAGAGGAGAGAGACATCAGCACAGCAAAAGGGGCTGTGGTTTTCCTCTCATGCCTTCTGGAGCAGGGGTTGTTTACCTATGGCCACCCAGAAGCAGAGAAACTGCTGAGCAGAAGAAATCAGCTATTTCCACAGATCCTTTACTCCTTTCTGAGGCCAACAGCTCTGAGGTTTTGCTGTGGGCCACTGCAACTCATCCAAATTCCCGGTCCTTGGTCAGCTGAAAAGGCATTATTCAGTGCTGCTAAACATGAGTAGAGTAGGCTGGACAAGGTACACCAGGCAGACCAGGTTCTGCTTGTGGACAGTGCAGGTGGCTGTGGAAGGTATTTGCTGGAACTTCAGTGACTCCATATGTAGAAAATCAAATGCTACATTTTGGACCCGAGCTTTATGTTTAAAAACAGATGGTGTGTCCAGCACATCAACGCTGAAAGGTAAGCTGAGCATCAAAAATTAATCAAAAGGCAGCCTAGGAAGCATAGCCCACATGCAGAGCCCTACACCAAAGCAGGACTCTCACACTTTCAGTAGCTACGCATTTGCCACCCATATTGTTTTGGGCTTTTCTCTTTTGCTGGGACCTGTCTGAAAGTTTCCATCTGCTTCCATCTGCTCCTACAAAGCAGGTGAGATTACGTGGTTTACCCCCTGCCTTCTTTTCTGGAGCCAGCCAGATCAGGCAGCATGAGCAGAAGGATATAATATGGTAGAGCCTGAAATCTGGGGGCCTGAATAGGGTTGCCTGTGAGTATTCACGGCTCAGGAAATGGGAGTGATGGGACACTAAAGGTAGCTACAAGATCATCATGACCTTGGCACAAATTGGGAAAGAGATGTTGCTCTGGACCACCTGGACAACACGGTGGGTGCTGGAACTTAGGGATCTGAACCAGGCTGAAGAACATATTCATAGAAATAACCACTGTAAAAAATATCCATGGGTGACATTACAGAAATGAATATTTAGCTTTGAGCCACAGCAGAGATTGAAAATAGCAAGTGGGTTTTTCAGAAAGAGTAATTTTATATTATCATGGATAATGTCCATGTTGCTGCTTGAACATACTTCTTTGCTGCACAGGTTTTAAATGCACAGACCATGAAGTAGGAATCCTTGTGCACGGCCATAAGCAAGTCCACAACCTTGTCTCGCTGTGCTGCAAATACCAGACTGTCTTTTCCCGAATGTTTTTCAAGACACTGCTCTCTGCCTTACTCTGCTGGATTCCACCTCTTTTTTTTCTTGTCAACATTTTTTTTCAGGTTGAAAATTAAAACAAATTCTTTTTGCCTCCTCTTGTAAGTGCTACTAGTATCCACAACATTTCCTGGGAAAACTAGAGTCCTCCTGCATATTTCATTGTACAACCTCAGTCTTAATATTCTGTAGTACAATCAGAAATATAACATAAAAGTAACCCAAGACAGAAGGGTAAAATACCTCAAGAGTTCTATGGCATAAAGGGAATCGCCTTTGCCCATGACTAAGAACCGAAACACACGTTGCACAGGTTTTGGATGTTTTAACCTTGGTCAGTTATGCAGATCATATTTTTTTCATCCACTTATAGCACAAAAAGTAATGAGAACAGTTTGTCTTGTTGGTGTACTCCTGTAAACTTCTCAGCAAAACCTAGTTCTGCAAGGGAGGGAGGTGGTTAGCATACAGTGGAATTGGGAACTGCTGTTATTTCTAAAGCTGCCCCAGTAATACGAAGTCACACTTTGGGGTACAACTTCCAGTCCTGCCTTAACTGCACAGTGAAATACAGAATCCGAACAACTACCAGTGTTTCTCCTGTTCTTGATAATGTGTTCTTTTTAAAACTTTCATTTTCATCTGGTATTACTTTTAATCTAGCAGTTCTGCATATATCTTTGGAATGCTGCCTTTATACGAATAGTACAAGTTTGTAAAATATTTAAGTTCAATATCTATGATATATTGAGAAGATTTGCTACTCTTGCCTAGTTATCTATTGCAAAATGCTTGGTCCTGCTTCTGATTTTTATTAGTTTGGTATGTACAATTAAATTTTATAATACATTACAGTTATTTGCCTGCACTGTGTAAATTACACCATATTCATTGTGCAGACTGAAGATAAACTGTCCCTATACTGAATACCATTTAGGTGCAAAATTTATTCCAAAATGGCCTGTATGCTTCTGTCTGCTGTGTCAGTTATGTAAGGCTTTCTGCAAGCAGAAATGCAGATCGATGTGTATAAATTGCATGTAAACGTATAGTTTAACAGGTACAAGCTAGAGAAAGACTATTATAGAGCAACTGTGATGAACATTTTGGCAGATTTAATAACTGATGCAAAAGGATCATAAAGCAGCCATCTGCAGCTACAAAACATACACAGTTTGTAAGCATCTTGCAATTCATCAAGAGCCTCGTTTTAGCACTCCTGCTACAACACACTGATGCACGTGTGCAATGTGCTATTTCAGTCTATGTATTGTAAATACAGCCTATAGGGATTCTTTTTTGGTCTGACAAGAAACTGGTCCCTGATTTTGGTTTTCTCAGACAAGAGTAAATTAATGGAGATCCTGATCTAAGTAATGAAGAAGAGCAAAAAGCAAGCTCGTTAGTGTACGCGCTGTCTCACATTTGCACAAAATATCAATGCAGTTGATGTGTCCCCAATTTCTGTACTTCCTCATCACCTTCAAGTATAGCAGCCAGGAAACACCATTGACAACAGAATTATATTAGCGAGAAAGGGTCAGTGATAGTATCTATAGAATTAAGATGGCCTACTGGAGATACCCGAAGGCTAGCTTTACGTTTCTAAAGGCATCCAATTCAGAGATGGCAAAGCCAGGACAAATGGCCCAAAATGACTTGAATCCATGACTGCTCTTAGCGAAGGCATGTTGCACATGGCATCACCATTGGCCTGGCTTTGTCATTGGTGATTTAGTCAGTAGGACAGTGTTAGAGATCTCTGCAGGGCAGAAGACGACAATCCTGACATTGTCTTCTATGTACTGCCTATAGGGAGAGGTGCCTTGAGTGAGCATTGCCCAGAATCATACCTGAGGGCAACTGGTTGGTTAGCACCAAAAAAAGAACTTTACACACATGCAGCACCTGGGTATGTGGCATGGAAAATTCGTGACTCATTCAAAAGAACGCTCCAGAGAACAAAGCATACACCACTGCTAAATCCACTAATGAAAGGGCTAATAAGAAGGGTACTAATACTCAATGTCATTGCATGACTCAAGGGCAAATTATTCACGGTATCAAGCACGCTCATGCATCCAAAGAAAGCCTAAAAGGACTACAGCTCCAAGCCAGCTCTGACTGAAACCTGGCAGGACTGTGACCATATTGTTGGTTTGCACACTGACTGTGCGAGACACCACCAAGATTACGCCAACTGGAATAGTAAGGGTCATCCTCAATTCAAAGAACTATAAAAAGAAAAGCCAAGGGGCACATTTCCTTCTGGTCCTTTCTGACGTGCTACTGATTTTACAACCT